AGTCACACAGGAAATAGTTTTGTTTATATTCAACAGTTCTTATAACATAAATATTAGTAAAATATATTTCAAGGTGCAAGATGAACTTGAATGAGTTTGCAAACCAGCATGATCGGACCATGGGAACGGGGTTTTATGGGGTAAAAATTGGGTTTTCTCATTTTTGACCCTCAAAACTCAAAATTTCCCAATTTCTCTCTATACCTTTTTAAAGAGCTTAAAAAACAAATAATTTAGTATATCAAAGTGTTTTTGTACGGTTATTGGTTACGGAGAAAATTCAAAAAATTGTTAATTTCAAATTCCCATCTTATTCTTATGGAGAATATTGTTTGTAAAATGTTGTAGTTTGCTTGTTTATGGATATATTTTGTTCAAACTTGTCAAATTTATTTATTTTATGCTAAGCTATTAATATTTTATTATAAAACACACTTTATTAGTTTCACTGTAGCTGCAAGCCTAGGTACTCGTTAAACCTAATGTTAATTAAACCTAACCTAATGTAATTAATGTTTTAACCTAATGTAATTAAATAGATTTAATTGAAAATCAATTCAGTCAAATAGAAATTTGCTCAGTCGGCAGGTTTGCTGCGGCAGGGGTGTTTAAATTTATTGTTAGTAAATGAATTCACAAATAACAAAATCTACTAATAAATTCAAATAAATAATATATTTTATCTTTTTCTACAAGGCAATCAAGGTTAAAATTACAATCAGATATTTATCTTAATGGTTCAAAATTAAATTAATTGGAGTACACTAAATTCATTGGTCTAATATTAGACCAGCATTTAACTTGGGATAAGCATGAGGAATAAATAAATAATAAATAAATAAATAAATAAATAATAAATAAATAAATAATAAATAAATAAATAAATAAATAAAAAGGCCTTTATTTACAAGCGAGTTTCATATACATGATTTTCAAACTTACTCAAGTCAAACTAAAACTAAACTAACCTAATATATACAGAAATTTAATATACAGACAAACTACAAAGAAAAAAAAACATTTACAATTTGCTTTTGTTTTTCTGCATTGCGGCCCTGAATGAGCCATACGATTTGGAGCTCTTTATGTCCTGAGGGAGGCCATTATACAACTGCGGGCCAAAATAAGAAAACGACTTTCTTCCAACTTCAAGCCTCACTTTAGGAAAGTGAAGCCTGCGGTCGGAACGAGTACCACGCAGGCAGATCTCCCCCCTGTACTTAAGCCTCTCGCTGAGGTACTGAGGCTCTCCCAGCGTGAGCACTTTGTGGACCAGGCAGCAGGTCAGCCTCCTGCACATTTCATCCATTGGGATGAGCTTTGCAGCATCTCGGAAGGAGGACACGTGGTCAAAGTGGTTAAGGCCAAAAATGAACCTTACTGCAGAATTTTGAATTCTTTGAACTCTTGCCATATCCTCCTTAGAGATGCTGTTTCCATATGCAGGAAAGCAATATGTAAAGGCTGGGAGGACCAAGGACCGCATGAGTTGCATTTTGGCATATTCTGGCAGTAGAGTTTTAAATCTGCTAAGACCTCTCAGTCTACCCACTGCACGTTGAACTGCAGATGTGACATGGTCAGAAAAAGAGAGGTCTTTGTCAAGTACAACACCAAGTGTGTTGACAGTGTCGCAAACAGACATGTGGTAAAAAAAATCTTCAGCAAAAATAAACCTGTACTAAATTCTACGTCAACAGGAAACAGCTCTTAGAATTATCTTTGGTATAAAAAACAGAGAATCAGTTAGGGTATATTTTTATAAATCGGGTATAGTGACCATCTATGATTTATTTATACATTTTTATTTTTATTTATACATTTGAAGCCATTCTACATGTATAAAGTTCAGATCATCAAACTAACAATTTCCACAGTTACAATTTAAAAAACACCAGGCATGTAGAACAACACAGATTGAAGTTATTTGAGGAAAAAACAGTTTCATTGTCAACCAATTTTTATTTAGCCTACCCAAAAATATTTTCAATGAACATTATAACAATAACTTTAAAAAACTATTTTCAATCTTAAACTATAATCATGTATGGCTATAATCAGTAGAAGAGTTTTGGAATCTATATATTAATTTGAAACTGTTTTTCTTTGTGACAGCTATTTTGAGAGAACGGCTGGGCGTAGAAACTTGGTAGAGGTGTCTAAAGAAAGGTCCTGGTCTGTAGATGAGCCATCAAAAGAGAAACATGGAGAATTCCCTCGGGGCTCTGCCCCAGTGGCCTTTAAATTCCCATACCATGTTATTCTTATGGAGGAAAACGAGGTTTTTGTCACAGCTAATTTGAGAGAACGGCTGGGCGTAGAAACTTGGTAGGGGTGTCTAAAGAAAGGTATTGGTCTGTAGGTGAGCCCTCAAAAGAGAAACGATGTAAATTTCCTTGGGGCTCTGCCCCAGAGGCCTTTAAAGTTCACTCTGCAATTTTGTTTACATTTCGACCATATGGATGATTTTACACTACTTTTAATGAACCAGCTGTTAATATTAAAATTGTATTCAAAGGTCTACTGAAACTGTCAAAATTAAATGTTTACATTATTATTTATGATTTTAAATGGATTCTCCACTGCATGGCAAGTTTTTTATAGTTTCAACAAAATGATGAATATATGATACATTTGAAATGTTTTGTTCAAAAATCTATGCTTTATTGCTCTTAGAAAATTTTAAATTATGAAATAAGTGTGACTTATCAATTTCAAAGGAACATATAACTATTCCTTATCGGGTTAGCTTATACATATTGTAAGGTTGGCACTTGCCTTTTTTTCCTACTTTCAATAACCATTTATTTTTAAATTCAAGAAATAACACCTGAGATTCATTTATTGGTATAACAGTTTTTGATAATCGGGTTGAAAATTGTGTCATAGATGAGTACGTTGAGGATGAGAGCTGTGTTCAATTTTTGGAATAGACTAACTACAGAGTCTATGGTTTTGGTAAAGTAGGTGAACTAATGTCAATTCAGGTATTTAAAAAAAATGTGTACACAGTTTTTACTTTGATGTACACATGTAGCAAGGTTGAACAACGCATCTAAACCTCACTACATATAAAACATTCGGAAACACAACAGTGTCATCACATCTCATTGCATTTGCATAATTTGTTACCAATGCTGGACTAGGTTATGGATTTGGTTCCGCAAATGTTCAAGATTTGTGATAAAATTTCTTACAATTATGGTTCATTCCAATCCACGAAATACATGCACAGCTTTATGTGATCTATATGGCCAAGGCAAAACTACCCCATTCAAGTTAGAATTATCAAGTAAGAACAGGATGATTAAATACATAGGTCGATGTGGCAAGAGAAGGATTTAAAATTGCTGAGATCGAAGTAAGAATGTTACTGCTTTCTGGAGAATCAGATATTTTTATCAAAAAAAGATGAAGATTTACTTATAAATCCGGATACAATCTGAATGATTTTCCTAAAGCAGATGGAATTAGTGGTTAGTAATAAATATTGACTCTTTCCGTAACATGATAGACTAATTATATGAACTCATTCTCCTATATAGTGAAAGTGGCTTTGGTATGAAACAAACTCATGAACAAACAATTATAAGACTCCTAAAAAACCTTTTGGGCAACCTAAAGCCGATAAAAAGAAAGGTAGGAAATATTGTGTTAAACGAATTCATCAATCACTTTTTTTAGGGAACACAATCGTCATACTTATTATTGCTTATCCTCCCTTCATATAACTAAGATTGCTGTAATTACATAAAACCTCAAGATTAACCGTCGATTTCGACGGGGTTCAACTAGTTATTAAATAATTAGAAATATGCTATGTTATAGGCCTAATTTATGTTTGTAATCTTTTTAATTTATTATACTTATACCTAATTTTTTGTTTCTTTTTTCCTTTCTGTGACACTATTCATGTATTTCCTGTAAAAATACTTTAATGAATAAAGATGATTTGTATTGTAATGTTTGTAATAAGGTGTGACGTGTTGTCGAAAATCATAGAAAAATCTATTACAACAGATTTGAGCTCGCTGCACTTTTGTTGCCAAAACCACGGTCATATCATTAACTAACACAAAACTACAATATTACAATAATTGAAGTGAGAAAAAACTAGTTAGTAAAACTAGCTGTTACCCACGGGCTTCACCCCGTTTGACATCATAAGTATTAATCAAACTATTGATTGGTTAAGTTAATCTGAAATAAACAAAATACAGTAAAAGAAACAAATAATCACAGCTGATTTTAATAAGGTAATGAATTGAAATAATAACAAACAAATAAATACAGCTGAGGTATTTTTAACATTAGGTATATGAAAAGTTCCCTTTAGAAAGGAATTACGACCTTAAAGGGCAATTTATGAAATAATGGATAATTTTGCGCAAGGGTTCTCGTCATGACGAACATTTTAAGTATATGGTTTATGGGGGGTGTGACTTGTAGTTTTCTCAAAAGTTCATGGGTACTTTTGGCTTTATATATAGATTTTAATGTAAAATGGTAAAAGTCTTTGCATCTTCTTCAGTGTGTGGACAGCAGCAAACACCCTTGTACAGGTGTTAACCACAGTGTCAATCCAGTCTAGTTTGCTGTGTACATCGTCAAACCAAGACTTTTGACATTGTTTTGGCTTTGCAATACAGTCCTGTTAACAGTGATGTTGGGTAAAATGTTTTGGTCAAGTCGGTTGAGTAGTCGTGTCGTGTGTGGCCAATGATGATTGGTTTGTTTTTGTCCATTCTTTGTTGCTCATTCCGGAAACTATTCTGTTGATGTCGTCGTTCATTAATGTGATTGTTTCATTCGCCTCCACTGAATTTAAAATAATCGTAGATTAGTAAGTCATCAGCATAAGAATGAAACTTGGCGTGTTGTAAAACTGAAGTCATGTCGTTTATGTAAATGGATAAAGTAAAGGGCCAAGTATTAATCCTTGAGTAACACCACAACTGTTTAAGAAATAAACATACTAGCCAGATGATTTTTTTTTCCAGAAATGTTTAGAAGAGGCAAAACAACAAATACAGAAGGAGATTGAAGGGATCGAAGATAAATGCTCTAAATTAAAGGAAATTATGTCAGATTTGAAGACTCAACTGTACGGCAAGTTTGGAAGTCACATCAATCTCGAAGCAGAAGAAGAATAATTATGTTACTTTTTTACTAATTTATTAATTTTTAACACTGTTTTCACCTCTTATGATTGTGCTAATAAACTAATGACACTATCTGTAGGACTTTATTATTGAATACCTAAAAAACCCTTTACCAAAAATATTATTAATATGAACGAGAAAGGTGTTTAGCAGAAGTTAAAAATCAAGTTTGAAATTTGTTTTAACAATAATCTCTTGACATACATTAATTCCAAATCACCTTGTATTTGCTTTATTATTTTATATGGTGATGTGTTGAAGGCTCGATAATGTTTTGTTTTATGTATTCATATAACTGCCGTAGCAAATTCTTCTTAAATATATATCTTATGATTGGTAAATAAATGCATAATTACAACTTCTTATGTAAGTGGTAAATCACCCAATCTGAATAGGTTTTATTACTAAAAAAAATTTCTTATGCTTAACTCCTGCTAAGAAATTAATCTAAAAGTGAAAGTTTATGCAATAAGCTTACTAAGAAATTTAATCCTTTTAAAATCAAAACCACTAATAAACAATTCAAACTATAATTGCTATCTAAATTTAATTGTGAGTTAGTACTTTTCCTTTTGTGTTACTGAGAGTAATAGGCCTATTACAGGTAACAGCTGTTTATCAGTCGTAATCCTTCATGCAGTTGACCTCGTTATCTGGGTGACCTTGTAGCTAACCAGATAACAGCTGTTCTTTAAAGCAGAAACCAGTCTGACTGAAGCGGTCTGTGAAGTAGTACAGTATCTTACCAACATGGCTGAAGGTGGTAAAGGAAAAATTGGAATACTTGGGAGGTAATTATTAGTATTAAGTTTTATTCGTTCGACTTATGTATCATTACTAATATTTTAGAGTAAAACAGATTTTATAGTGTAGTTTGAGATATAGCATGTTTTCAATTCACTAAACTTTGGTTTGGTTAGGTTGTCCAGTAACAGGTCATTGACCCCCTCTTGACTCTCCCGGTTATTTACTTATATTGTCAAACAATTGCTTCATTAAAGTAGATAACTTCCATTATGTCTTTGTATATAAAACATTAAGCCAAAAGTTGGTCTTGCAATATTTATAACAAACTCTGAGAGGAAGGTTAAGTCTTTTTCACAATCTCAATGAAAAGCAATCAATAAAAAATTGTATTCGCAAACTGACACACTTTGCTCCATTAGTCTGACATTTAAAAAGTAACACTACAGATTTTTACGGAAAAAATAAAGATGTCAATCACTTTTGAGTTTTGAACCATAAAATATACAGCCTTGGGTGTTGTTCAGGGTTGAAAGGACTATAAGATACTAAATAAATTTTAATCAAATCATTTAAATATTTTTTGTAAAAAGTCATATTTTTCTGTTATTTTCTGAGTTTTTAGAAATTACAATCAACAATCGAGATTTTAAAAAAAGTTGAAAAAATGCCTGTAGATATTATGGATTTAGTACCTACATTAAAATTTAATGAAAGTCGGATCACAGGTGTAGTCTGTACACATCCACACACACAGATTACTTCAAAACCATTTTGACAAAAGAATACTTTCTCCATATACAGTACCATGTATAGGGGAGAACGTAAAAACATGCAAATATTTTATGTATAGATGTTATATTTATATAATTATTGTACAGCATATGCTAACGGTTGATAGACCGACCTTTACTTTATACCCCTTACAGCTCCAATTTTAGGTATTTAGGTATATTTCATCAGCTCTAGTCAAGAGTGATGTTTTTACTTTCTCCCCCTAAACCCTATACCATAGTATATGGAGAAAGTATTGTTTTTGTCAAAATTTTCGAGTTTGAGTTTTGAGTGGATACATCCATTTTGGGTCCCCCTGGACCCAAAAAAGAGGTTTTCGAAGTGATGTCTGTGTGTGTATGTGTGTCAGAATGTGTGGATATGTACAGAGCTACAGACTACAGTAGACTCCCTCTTATCCGGACTCCTCGGGACCGAGGCCAGTCCGGATAACGGGTTTTATCGGTTAAACCAACGTCCCCAAAAGCTTGTTAAAACAGACTGTTTACTGTGATATTTGATTTAAATTTAGGAGAGCATTGTATTTAGACACATGATAGCTGGTCTCAAAACTTTCCACGAGAACAGTGGTTTCAGTACTGCCCACTTCCTGCCGATCTAGTCCAGATAAACCAATGTGCTGATAAAAATTGTCCGGTTAAAGAGATGTCATTTCCGCCCAAGTGTCGTCCGGTTAAGAGGGAGTCTTTTGTACGTACACCTGTGGTCCGATTTTGATGAAATTTGGTATGTAGGTAATCCATGGTATCTCCAGGCATTTTTTCATTTTTTCAAAATTTGTATTTTTAATGGTGTTTTTCCCATAAAATCCATAAAATAACGTAAAAATAAAATTTCTTCAAAAATGGCCCGAACGATTTTGATAAAAATGTTGTAGCTCTTTAAATTCTTAACAAAATGGTAGAACTCCCTTAATTGTAAAAACTACAGTTAAAAAGTTATTGTAAATTAGGCTATGTTATTTTCCCATCGAAAAAACTTATCAAAAATAAGCAAAAATAATATTTTTGAAAAAACCGGTTTTGATTGAAATTAGTATGTGATAATCCTTATAATTCCAAACAACATAATGCAACCCCCCATTGCTGTAAAAAGTTACGTTTCAAAAGTTATTGTATCTCATGTTATTATCCCATAAAAACCCATTAATAAAAGGAAAGATTGATATTTTGGGAAAAACCGATTCTGATTTAATTTTGTCTGTTATGGTCCTTATAATTCCAAACAAAATAGTGGATCCCTTCATTCCTGTAAAAATTACTGTTCAAAAGTTAATGCAACTTTTGTGATTTTACCTATTAAATATTATAGTTACTATCATCGCTTACCCATGATAAAGGTTGTTGACAAGCTAATGGGACAATGTATGTGTCAGATTGCTGATACCGTTTATTTACTTTCTCCCCCTACAGTAGTATCGTTTTTGTCAAAATTTTTGAGTTTGGGTTTTAAGTGAACATATCCGTTGTGGGTCCCACTGAACCCAAAAAAGTGATTTTCGAAGTGATGTGTGTGTGTGTGTGTATGTGTACAGAGCTACAGACCACACTTCAGTGGCGTCATTTCACCAAATCCTTGGTGGGGGCAAACACCATAAAAAATATGAGTATATTTATTTAAATTTAGGCAGAAAGTTGATGAAACTAAGAATTATTGACAACAGACAGAAACACAATAATTTTATGTTGGTAAGTTAGTCATCTAAGAAACGTGATCAATAGTTACATGATGAGTTAATATTATGTTTGTTATTATAGATTCATGACCAATTTCTCTTACAACATTTAGCAATGAATACGGTTGTTCATAGCCTATAGTTTATAACAGTTTATTTTGGTTTTTAAATAAAATACAAGTATTTGAGAACTTAAAAGCAAATCAAATTTTATCACCAATAACATAATTTGACACAAAAGTACAAAAGGCTATTTAACTATATTAAATTGGTAGTCTACAATGTTCAAAATAAATTACGTAAAATTTATACACATGTAAGTTATAATTTTAATGCTTGAATAATTCATAAAAGTAAATGACAAAGCAATGCTTCTAAAAAATCTGAATTTGTATGTATATATATATAAAGTAGAAGTAAGTGGTTTATCGTACAGCACCAAACAGAAAAAGTAAATGAATAAGAAAACTACTAATTTATTTGAACTCAAAATGTGCTATCTAAGACAATAAAACAATGATAATTTTTGTTTCAAATTACTGTGCAAGAATATACAGATTTTTGTCTGCTGTGCTTTTTAGGATTTGACAGGAGAAAATATTTGTATATTGGCTAGTACAGCATATTTTTTTCTCTAGCCCTGGATCCAGGGGGGGGGGCAAATGCCCCCCCTGCTCCCTACCCCCGCAAATGACGCCCCTGCCACACCCATAGTCCGATTTTGATTAAATTTGGTATGTAAGTAATCCATGGTATCTCCATGAATTTTTTTTCATTTTTTTCAAAATTTTGATTTTTAATGGTGATTTTGCCATAAAACCCATAAAATAACGTAAAAATCTGATTTACTTAAAAATGGTCCGAACGATTTTGAATTTAGTACAGTAGACTCCCTCTTATTCGGACACCTTTTAGCCGGACATCGGTTTAACCGGACTATACTCAGTAGAAATTACATCTCTTTAACCGGACAATTTTTATCAGCACATCGGTTTAACCGGAGTAGATCGGCAGGAAGTGGGCAGTACTGAAACAATCGTTCTCGTGCGAAAGACTTGAGACCAGTAATCACGTGTCTAAATACAATACTTTCCTAAATTTAAGTCAATTACTGTATTCAGTATGCATTAAAACGGTCCGTTTTAAAGAATTTTTTGGGACATTGGTTTAGCCGGAAAACCCGTTATCCGGACTGGCCTCGGTCCCGAGGAGTCTGGATAAGAGGGAGTCTACTGTACATTTAGTATGCTATAGTCCTTTAAATTCTGAACAAAATGGTACAAATTCCATTTCCTTATTGTAACTTATGTTATTCTCATAAGTAACTATAAAATAACAAAATAATTTAGTTTAAGGAAAAAGCCGGTTTTGATTAAAACTAATGTGTTATGGTCCTTATAATTATAAACAAAATAGTGCAACCCCCATTGCTGTAACAATTACGGTTAAAAAGTTATTGCTTATAACTTTTGTGATTTTTTCCTATAAAATATCATATTTACACCCACCGCTTACCCATGATAAAGATGGTTGACAAGTTTATGGGAGAAAGTATGACTCAGATTGCTGATACCGTTTATTTAAATGTTGAATGCATTTCCAACCTGATGTACTTGTAAAGCCCATTAAAAAACAAGGTGGTTATGGAACCCTCAATCTTTTCACTTGGTTATTCATTTTATTGTTTCTCTAGGATTTGAAATATAACAAAATTAAGTTTAAAAAATGATGAATGAGGACCAGGAGACGATTCTGTTCTATCCCTAAATAGTTTTCATAATGCTCCTCATTAAAACCCCCTTATTTTCATTACTCATTCACACTCACTTTCTATGGGACGATGTCGAAGTTGGACAACGTTAAACGTGGCCTACGTTAAAAGCAGACGCCGCCTCAATCAGACAACGATAAAAGCAGACAACAACGAACATGGACACATTCAAATGTGTCCAAGCTTAACGTTGCACGCAAACGACGAACCTGGACACATTTATAAGTTGTCCAGGGGTGGCGTTGCACGACACGACGAATATGGACACATTCAAATGTGTCCAAGTTTAACGTTGCATGCAAACGACGAACCTGGACAAGTTTTTAAGTTGTCCAGGGGTGGCGTTGCACGACACGACGAAACTGGACACATTCAAATGTGTCCAAGTTTAACGTTGCATGCAAACGACGAACCTGGACAAGTTTTTAAGTTGTCCAGGGGTGGCGTTGCACGACACGACGAAACTGGACACATTCAAAAGTGTCCAAGGGTAACGTTGCACGCAAACGACGAACCTGGACACTCTTAGTTTTTGAACAGACTGTACACCAGGCTCATCAAATTCTCAGTCTCGCTCGGTTGGTAAACTCTGAATGAGCTTCCTAAAACAGAAATGCCGTGAATACGCCTTATTGTTACAAGGCTTCTTTCTAACACACTGTTACTAATACACTGTGTTGTAGTGACTCATAGTCCGCGAAACACATTGGACATTATAAATTCGGAAATTTAATTGCATGTTTATTTGGTCGTTGTTAATGTTTGCTGGATATTAATAAAAAAATAAAACCTATGGGACCTGGATACACCGTGTCCCAAATGGATGGTTCAAATCTACAGATTTTGTTCAATATACGCATTGCTAATTGTCGTATAAAAGTTAATTAAGGCTCATTTTAAAACTGCCATATTTATGTGATTTTTAGTACCCTTCAATAGTAATTAGCTGTCCATTGTTTTTGGCACATTTGAATCTTCAAAACATACATTTGCAATATGGAGCTGCGGCTGAAATCAAAATTTGTTAATGGTTTATAGAAACGAAATATGTGGAGTGTTTTTGTCTGGGGGTTTGTCCTTGGTTTTTCAATGATTGAACGTATCAGTCGTCAACCTCTAACATGGATAAACAAGAGGGGGAGGGGCGGGGACTTTTTAGAAAATGTTCCTTATATGATCTACTAACACCCATGAAAAAATCAGCCTTTCACTAATTACTTCCGACAAAGCACTATTTTTTCCCTTTATTGACTGGGCTATATAACAGTTTGTAGACTCCAGGTGCATTTATTGTAATAGGCCTATTTATTTTTTATTCGTTCGTGTATGTGTGTGTGAAAGTTTATGGACATTAGTAAACAATGATAAGTATTTTTTCCAACTGCAATGTTTTGACAACGATGGATACAAGCCGAAACATGTAAACAACCTACTATTTGAGCTGTTTGTCGGATTATAAGGTATGTAAACCTATTTATCACATTGAATATTACAGCTCAGGAGCTAGAATGGAAATTAATTATAACCAAATTACTTAAACTACAAATTACATCTATTTTTTACGAATGGTGTTTTTGCTCTCTCGGGGCATCAAAACGAAAAATAAAATAGGTCCCGGGTCTAGGTCTTTCAATGAGACCTACGGTAATAGCTTATTCCCTAAATGGAAAAGAGTATTCTAGCACAACTAAATAAATAAGATTTTGAGGTTTCTAGTCATAGTATGTCAGCTTACAACCCCTGATGTTGTTGACCTGCTATCACGAAAAATGACTAAGACTCTACTAACTCAAAAATAATAATATGAGCCAAGAAAAGGGTAGGAATTTATTGTAGAAAAGCTCTATATATTTATAATGACGAAGCTATCTATACAGCTGATGATTTATAAAAAAAAAACTCCCAAAAAAATTAAAACGCTTATAAAAATTGTGGCTTTTGTTATGCCTTTAATCCCGGTTATGTCACAAATCTATACTTATTTAATACGCAAGCATGTTTTTAGTGACAAATACTCCTCCGAAACTACTGAACCGATTGACATGTTTTTGGCGTCATTGGAAAGAGCGTAACGTGAAGTTGTGCAGGACTAACTTTATTTTTAGGTAAACTAGTGTACATGTTGCTCGAAATCGAGCAATTGCAAAGAAGTATAGGAGTTATTTAAAAACAAATGACTTGTTTAAAAAACAAATAACAGTCATAATTTCCGATGATTTTGAAAGAGTCGACTAAAAGATTATTAGCTAATGGAAATACTCACAATTTACATAACAGTCCTACTCCAGTTTAAAGGGTTAATTTTTAACTATCAAACTACACATGGATGTGAAAAGGTAAGCTTACAATTTAAGTCAACGTCTTCTTATGCAGGAAACTTTCTTTTTAGGGAAATAATCAGAGAGTGAGGCCCTGGGGCCCTTTAAAGTTTCGTATTTCTCCGTAAGATTAACATGGGAAACAAAAATTGTTATGCAACTCCAGCTGTTGTCAAAAATTAAAAGTGAGAAGAAAAACATATGTTAATTTTAAACAGTCAATAAGTTTGCTAATTTTACAGTTTGCTACAAACATTTACTGACTTGGTTGAAATGAAATATTTACTACTGTATTTGAATTCGGGTTGGCGTAAATATTACAATGGAAAAAGGCGAGAGAGCCTGGATGAATTGATATATTCTGTTATGTACATCTTGAATATTTCCATAATCTTTGGATCAAATCCTTTAAAGTAATCAGAAATTATGAACGTTATTCCTTTAAAAATAACGCCTCTAATACTTAGAAATTGCTCGAATTCGAACAACAGGGACACTAGTATTGTTTCTTTTGCACCTGCTAGTATGTTGTGGTAAATGTACGATTTGTATATTTGTATTTTTTTTTTTATTTAATGATTTATACTATATAGTCAATGTTTATTGTTTTTATATTTTGCACTGTTAGATAAAATGTGTAGGTCAATAAATCCATTGCATTGTTATTAATTATCTGTCATAGGCTATATCATCAAACAGTTTATTGCTCTTAATTCATCTTTATACAAATCTTGTTTTTTTATAGGTTAACTAGAGTTCCAGATTAATAGTTTAGTTTACCTTAAACATGATTGTTTTATTTTCGTTAGACATATTTTTAATGAGATTCAGTAAGAAAACTAACTTCTTAACACTTGTATAAATATGCTCCAGACTCAAGAGCATAAAGTAAAGACCATGACATTTTTTTTGCAAGTCCTTAAAATCAGCATTAGAAAATACATTATACAGCAGAAAATCACATCTTAGAGTCTTCGGAGTGTTTATTTGCAGTTTTATGTATACAAAAATACTTATTTCTAACAGTAGATCTATTATCAGTGAGTGGAATTCATTAGTTTTGGATGAACGTAACCTTTTTTGGCCTAACACAAAACTTTATGATGCGTCTAATTGGTAGAGGAAATCCGATGTTAAAGATAGGCCAATAAACTATATAATATGTGATTAACCGTTATAACATCTAGTCTCAGGCCTATAATATGGTACAGCTTTAAAAATGATAATACTGTAATGATACCATTTTTAAATGCAGAATTTTTATGTTGGTAATTTTTACTGTGTCAATAATGCGAGTTTATTTAGGCCTACAATGGTTTTCAATTACTTGAGATGAACGAAATACGAATGACTCGTTTTTGTGCAGTCACACAAAATGTGTGAAAATGTGCAAATAGCACCGACACTTTTAAAATAAACCTGACCTACTATTTATTTTTTTATTAAGTCACGTTTGAAGATAGAAGCTACGTTACATATTAGTTATGTATGGACAACATGTACAATATTTACATGATAATAAATAGAAAGTCTGGTCTTAATACACACATTCCAATCAACAATAATTTTATGTGAAATGAAAAGGCTTGAAAACCAAACAGATATTTTGAAATAGTCGCCCGAAACTATATTAGGATTGACAACGTAAGACGTATATGTAATCTTATTAATACTGTCATGATTATTTCATTCATATTTAATCCATAATATCCGGAAAATTAAAAATAATACTAAAGCTATGAAAACAGAAAAAAGTATAGTTCAACTGATCTGAAAGATTGGCGACGAACATGGACAACGCAAAACCAAAGCCTGAGGGATGCATTTTCTTTATCCTAAAGGCGGTTCCAGACATGCGCCAGTCACCAAGCACGAAATATTAACGTTCAGCGATTTAGTTGTCTTGCTATTCACCGATTAAAAAGTAGACTTATACTACACACATGTGTTGTTTTCCGAGCAAGTGTTAGTTTTTCCGTCCGTAGGGAATAGAAAATATTCGTTTACTTTTATGTATGCAAAAATACCGACTATGTGCAACACTACGTCACAGTGGTGGATAGTTGTACGAAAATGTAACCGTTAAATCTGAAAACAGCCAGCTTTATTACCTAAAACATATGGGATATTGCAGTGATTCTATCCACTAGTGTGACGTCATGAACCTTCAGCATGGCGTGTTTTTCTAGTGGGGCCTTGGTCGAAATCCCAAACAATGGACTTTGACAGGTAGAATGTACAGTCAGGTCCCAAAACAAGAGACTTAAGACAAATGTCCATATTCGTCGTTGCACGACACGACGAGACTGGACACATTCAAATGTGTCCAAGCTTAACGTTGCACGCAAACGACGAACCTGGACACATTTATAAGTTGTCCAGGGGTGGCGTTGCACGACACGACGAATATGGACACATTCAAATGTGTCCAAGTTTAACGTTGCATGCAAACGACGAACCTGGACAGGTTTTTAAGTTGTCCAGGGGTGGCGCTGCACGACACGACGAATATGGACACATTCAAATGTGTCCAAGTTTAACGTTGCATGCAAACGACGAACCTGGACAAGTTTTTAAGTTGTCCAGGGGTGGCGTTGCACGACACGACGAATCTGGACACATTAAAAGTGTCCAAGGGTAACATTGCACGCAAACGACAACCCTGGAAACTTAATCTGTCCAACTTTAACGTTGTCCGCGTGTGTCGTTGTCCAAGTTCGGCGCGGTCCCCTTTCTATGCAGTATTTCTAAGCATTATTCTTTTGACTATTAACAGATGGTAGGTATTTATTACAGTATATAATATTCGACAGTCTCTTGGATAAATGTACAATGGTAATAAACAAGGTAACACGGAATAAAAGAAAGATAAAACAGTGCAACATGAATAGGTTTAATTATATCCGCTTCAAAGATCAGCTCCTTGAAACTAGCTCACCACAACCACCACCACCCTTGGGTTTGACATATTCTTGTGGTGAGACCATTATATTCTTAATAACACATTTCAGTCAACACTTTTATTTTGTTCTCTAATACCACACACATATTTTGAAACTGGAGAAATGTTCAATTTCTGCATTCATTTTAAAGCTCTGCAAAGTCTTGAGAAACATGCTACCCCTGGACGCCCATTGGTTGAATTGAATTGGCCCATGATAGCCCTTGGCATGGTCTCCCTTAGCAATGTTGTCCACTGGCACTGCCTCCTACATTATCATCTTGCTGAGCAAATGTGTACCAACGTGTTGTTGACTTGCAGTGGGCTGATTGGCCGTAGCTGGGCCATGCTGTATGCTGGTGTCGGCTACTCCGTGGTCCTGTATGATGTGGTAGAGCAGCAAGTGACAGCGGCTCTCACTGACATTGCCAAACAGCTGGAGATGTTAGCGGCTGGTGGGCTACTGCGGGGCTCTCTCACTGCTAAGCAACAGCTCGCCTGCATCTCTGGTGAGCTTAACAAGTCTAGTCTGAGTTGAGACGTTATGTTTTCGTTTATAACCTCTCATTGCCACAGACAGTGATGCAATGAAACATTGTACCAAACACTAATTGCACGACTTAACAATTAAATTGGCCTGAACAGCTGATTAGTTGAAGTTCGAATCATTACCATATTACTTATTCTCTCTCAATCCTTTAACCTCATTAGTTCATTACCGGTGTCGTTATGAGTACAACTATGCTGTAATGGAAGGAAACAATGATGTTATGAGGAACTTTTCAATTCTAAGAACTGTACTTAAACGGCTACTTTATAAAACGGTCGTAGGTAAAAGAATTAACATATTTTCTTATTATTTTTCAATTAGTTTGTTGAGAATTAATTACATCTACAACTTATCCATCACCCCATGCATCTGAAAATTTATTTCATACAATTAGATTTTTTTTTTGAATTGTTAAGAAATAACAATAAAACATTATGTGGGCATATATCACATTTATTTATTTGCTTGAATAAAAAAAAACGTGTTTTGAAACTTATATTCTGATGACTATAGGATCTAAGACTAAGATATTTTATTTTTTGTTAAATTTTAATAAATAATTTATGTTAATTTGAAAATTTGTTTTGTTAGTTTATAATTTTTTAGAGCGATGTCAACAAGTGCCTTGAACTCTTCCTCACACAGACTTGTGAGAAATGTTTTTCCTTTTTATATATTAATTGTACATTTAATGGAAATAAAATAATCTTGAATGACAGTTTTGTTTTGATGGACTACGATCAGCTGGTTATTCAGCCAAGACCAGTCACAGTACAACTCCTCTAATCCGTCTTCTACGGGACCAGTGCTATGGTAGAAACAGTGAATTAATTGCTTAACTGACATTTATTGATCGCGCAAGATCGTGAAAGACGCTAATAAATTTCCTGTGAGCACGGGAGACATGTAATATTTCCATGATCACGGAGGATGATGATAAATGTTTCTGTGATTACGGAAAACGATGATGACGTTTATGTGATCAAAGGTGATGAACAAGATTTTTAGCAGAATTGCAGGAGACGGTGACAATCTTCACACGGCCATGGCAAATAGCCACAATATTACCACAGTAAAATTGTCACCGATAGGCGACTATAAGATCGGATTAAGCGAGGAGTCAGTCAAGATGAATTAGAATGGGTTCTACTGTATTGAAAGCCCAATGATCAAGGACAGCCAAACCAAGCTTCAAGGGTTCAAATGCCAAGCTTCAAATACGGGATTTACAGTACATTTTAAAATTTTATGTTTAAACCATTTGAAATTAAACTAATCCATTACAAGTATTTAAGCTACTAGTGATAATAATGCCAGATTAGTTTGAAAGTCTATGACAGATAACCAACTGAATATTATCTGCTTATTGTACATGGTGTTTTATTCCAATATCTCTTTCTTAAATAATAATGTCAAAGGGATTGAAGTGTTTACAATCTTAATAAACTCAATTTTCTTATAAATAGATATTGCAAGACCTCATTGTACATTATAATTTCTATTATTTTGTTGAAAGATGCGTAGTTAGCACAAAATATGAGACAAAAGTGTACAGTAATCAGTAATTATATTGTTTTTATGCAAACTTAAGAAAGGATTAGGTTAAAAGGATCCCTTAAAACAATTAGGTTTTATTGACTAGACCAGTTATATCACTAAACGGATGTCCCAATCAATTTATGCTATTTCTGAAGGACCAGTACTAGTCTGACATAACCGATTGATAATTACTTAAATTTTAAATCCGATCCATTTATAAGAATAATTTCTATGATTACAGGAACATCTAGTTTAGAAGGCCTAGTCCAAGATGCTATTCTAGTCCAGGAGTGTGTACCAGAAAATATAGAATTGAAAAAGAAAGTCTTCCAAAATCTGGATAAAGTTGTCGGACCAAAGACCATCCTAGCTAGTTCTACATCAACGTTTGTGCCATCACTGTTTTCTGAGGATCTCAAAAATCGAGCTAGAGTTGTTGTAGCTCACCCGGTGAGTAATTAAATTTTATTACTTACCAGTTTTATCATCGCCCAACTTTTTGATACTGTGTTTTATTTTTATGGAACAATTAAAGAGACTTTATAAATTCATGAAACTCAAAATGCTTAATATTGTATATTTTAAAACCTTATAATTTTACCATTCTTTGATCATTATTTTTTTAACAGATATATTATGCATTGCTTCATGTTTAAAGATCCACTCCTCAAAATCTAAATCTAAAAGCTTTTGACTAGAAATTATTACAGTAGAACTCCAATCATTCGTACTTCACTATCCAAACCGTTTACAGAACAAATTTTTATAATTTTAAACTACAGTAGTACATTTGTTTATTATAGAAACCTTAAGCCGTTATCACAGCAAAATCCTGACTATCTCTCATACTCGTATGGATATCATCATCGTCTCCAGGTTTCACAGAATAATCATTATTGTTTACATTAGAGGGCAATTTCTTGTAAAAGGCCAGCATCCATGACAAAACAAACAAAGGAGATTTTGTAAGAATAGATTACTTTCGTCAATAGCTCATTGAATCATGAGTTTCACTTGGACACATTGTCATCATCAGCTGAGTACTAGTGAAGTTTTTATTCACCCGATTAGATGGCTTCGTCATTGTTAAATTAAATAAACACGTAACACATAACACCAATACGACACGACACGGAACATATACATTTACAACACGTAAAGCTTTAAGACATGCAGGCCTGCTTGAACAAAACACACGGTCACGCCGCGGGTCGGGACAGTCACTTCTCATAGAGAGCTATGATGAGGTGGACGCAGGGAATTCATATAAGCTCCCTCACTTCTCATTGAGATCTATGATGAGGTGGACGCAGGAAATTCATATAAGCTCCCTCACTTCTCATAGAGAGCTATGATGAGGTGAACACAGGGAATTCATATAAACTCCATCACTTCTCATTGAGAGCTATGATGAGGTGGACGCAGGGAATTCATATAAGCTCCTCACATCTCATAGAGATCTATGATAAAGTGGACGCAGGGAATTCATAAAAGCTCCCTCACTTCTCATAGAGATCTATAATGAGGTGGATGCAGGGAATTCATATGAGCTCCCTCACATCTCATAGAGATCTATGAGAAGGTGGACGCAGGGAACTCATGCAAGCTCCCTCACTTCTCATAGAGATCTATGATGAGGTGGAGGCAGGGAATTAATATAAGCTCCCTCTCTTCTCATAGAGATCTATGATGAGGTGGATGCAGGGAATTCATATGAGCTCCCTCACATCTCATAGAGATCTATGAGAAGGTGGACGCAGGGAACTCGTGCAAGCTCCCTCACTTTTCATAGAGATCTATGATGAGGTGGAGGCAGGGAATTAATATAAGCTCCCTCACTTCTCATAGAGATCTATGATGAGGTGGAGGCAGGGAATTAATATAAGCTCCCTCACTTCTCATAGAGATCTATGATGAGGTGGATGCAGGGAATTCATATGAGCTCCCTCACATCTCATAGAGATCTATGAGAAGGTGGACGCAGGGAACTCATGCAAGCTCCCTCACTTTTCATAGAGATCTATGATGAGGTGGAGGCAGGGAATTAATATAAGCTCCCTCACTTCTCATAGAGATCTATGATGAGGTGGAAGCAGGGAATTCATATAAGCTCCCTCACTTCTCATTGAGATCTATGATGAGGCGGAGGTAGGGAATTAATATAAGCTTCCTCACTTTTCATAGAGATCTATGATGAGGTGGAGGCAGGGAATTAATATAAGCTCCCTCACTTCTCATAGAGATCTATGATGAGGTGGAGGTAGGGAATTAATATAAGCTTCCTCACTTTTCATAGAGATCTATGATGAGGTGGAGGCAGGGAATTAATATAAGCTCCCTCACTTCTCATAGAGATCTATGATGAGGTGGAGGCAGGGAATTAATATAAGCTCCCTCACTTCTCATAGAGATCTATGATGAGGTGGAGGCAGGGAATTTGCTTCCTCACTTCTCATAGAGAGCTATGATGAGGTGGAGGCGGGGAATTCATATTAGCTCCCTCACTTCTTACATCGATCTATGATTAGGTGGGCGCAGGAAATTCAGATTAGCTCCCTCACTTCTCACAGAGATGTATGATGAGGTGGACGCAGGGAATTCATATAAGCTCCCTCATTTCTCATAGAGATGTATGATGAGGTGGACGCAGGGAATTCATATAAGCTCCCTCATTTCTCATAGAGATGTATGATTAGGTGGGCGCAGGAAATTCAGATTAGCTCCCTCACTTCTCACAGAGATGTATGATGAGGTGGACGCAGGGAATTCATATAAGCTCCCTCATTTCTCATAGAGATGTATGATTAGGTGGGCGCAGGAAATTCAGATTAGCTCCCTCACTTCTCCTAGATATCTATGATGAGGTGGACACAGGGAATTCATATAAGCTCCCTCACTTCTCCTAGATATCTATGATGAGGTGGACACAGGGAATTCATATAAGCTCCCTCACTTCTCACAGAGATGTATGATGGTTTAGGTGAATCCCCCGTACTACGTGCCTCTTGTAGAGATCGTCCCAGCACCATGGACAGAACCCTGGGTGCCACAGAGGGTGCGGGAGCTGCTCACGGAGATTGGCCAAGAACCAGTCACCCTCTCTCGAGAAGTAGCTGGCTTTTCCCTCAACAGGATACAGTGAGAGAAGTCTTTTCTATTTCACCTTTGTTTTACTCTATCAATAGTCACTTTACAAAATAACCTAACAAAATTAGAAAAATCATATGCAATTGGTGTAAAGCCCTTCAATTACAAGCGGGTCAAATTTACCTTGGATGGGCACAAATTTGTAGGATGAAAAACATCTATCCATCTATCTATCTATATCATTTATACGCTACATGAAACTTTGTGAAAAATAAGGCTTTTTTCGTTTTAAGGTTTAACCCCACATATTATTGACCAAAATGTTTGTTCTAGGTGTAATTTGCAAACTGTCCTTACATTTTTGGAAAAGTCTGCCCCAGTGGCTTTAAAAGTTCCCATATTTGTTTACATTATGATCAGCTGGATAATTTAATTGTTAATATTTTAGTTGCAATTTAAGGAAACGTGTGCTATTTACTATTTGAATTTGGGTTGGCGCAAATATTACAATGGAAAAACTAGAAAGCCTGGACAATTTGATACTATAATAACCCTTAGAGTGCCAGGCGAGAAATAAAAGTAACAATCAAAAAATTCCGATGATTTTTCCCGAAGGGCGCGCTAAAAATGCCGAGCGCGATCTGGCGATTTTTAGGTTAAAATTTCGTAAAAATCGAATTTTCGATATTTCGACCAACGAAAATCGATGTATCCCATCTAGTAACTTTCGACTCAATGTTAATATATGGGTTAAAAGAATCCGAGTATCCATTCGGTTGTTATGACAACTGTTCGATCATTACGAAACGTCCGGTCAGCCGGACGTTGGCACTTTTGGCTCGTTCTAAAAACGTCCGGTCGGCCGGACGTCGGCACTTTTGGCTCGTTTTAAAAACGTCCGGTTCCCCGGACGTTGGCACTCAAAGGTTAAATTATCTAGAAAATTACCCCACTACAAATTTTACACTGCTATTTCACAAACTTTAGGTATGCAATCCTGAACGAAGTATGGAACCAAGTAACTGAAGGATTGCTCAGCGTGGAGGATGTTGACAAAGTCATGTCTGAAGGCCTGGGCATGAGGTATGCCTTCTTGGGGGCCCTGGAGGTAGCTCATCTTAATGCTGAAGGTATGACCTACTATTAAATGGCTTAACACTTCAAAAACCTTCTGCCTTTACTCAGCAATACTTTAATTTACATTACTTCCATAAATACTTTAATACTTTTAATTCAAATAGCGACCATAGGAAGGTAGGTATTTTAATCCAAGTATGAATGGGAATGAGTGTAGGATGAGTGGCACCATCTTGTAGTCTTGTTATTGACCAAGGCCGACATGTGTTAAGGTAAGGCCGACATGTATTAAGGTTATTGAGCTAATAGTTAACACAATGCATAATCACTGATAGACAAAAGAAATGTTTCACAACAAAACAAATTCCACCACAGCTTCGAGTCCTCTGTCTATGTACAGTAGTTGTGATGGTGTGCCAAGTGTGCAGTGTTGATTTTTCTTTTATCTGTTTTTCATTTACTTTCTTTTGGGTTTCCTTTGAAATATAACTGCTCTAAGAATCGTTTCAAGTGATTGTTTTTCAATATGTTTTTGTGTGGCAACAAATGGCTTTTTACTAATCTTGTTACGTTCAATATTACACAAATCACTTAATTTTTGTGCAATAGATAATTGTGTAACTAGTGGGCAAAATAAAAGTGGCACTGTACAACTCGTTTTTAGGTTAGGTTAAATCCAAACATCGAACGAAATGAGAAATGCTGCACCAGCTGATTGTAGTCGTAATATCTTGAAGTGTGCCAACTTATTTTTAAGCGTACATGGATAACGTGCATAATAAAAGCACACCATTTTGTGTTGTTTGGTTGGAATACTGGTGTGCACCAATGTAAAAACCGTGCATCAAAGGTAAAAACAGTGTGACAATGTAAGACTTTGTTTACTATAATCTGTGCAAGGAAGCCTAATTTGTCGGGTGACTGTAAGAAAATTATTTTTAACGATCCTTGAAACTACATAAACTCAATAATTTACTTTATATTCAAAATCCTTGTTTTACAGGCATAGAAAACTACTGTGAGAGATACCACAAGTCTATATACGACACAAGCATGACATTCAAGCCAGTGCCCCACATGGTTGGTCCTGCGGTAAAGGCAAGTACCTCATTCATGGAGGAAAGTTAGTTATTTATGGTTCAAAACTGACAGAACTGTGTTGATCATTGTACATTTAACAAATGGTCCTGGCTAATGAAATAGCCTGACTTGGTCAGTAACAAAGCTACACAATACCTTATTCTACACTCATCCTTTACGTACATATTTGGATTAAAATACAAGGTGGCGTTCCTATAGATTGGTAATATAATATTTAAAGACAAACAAAAAAAGCTCTTCTATATAAAATTTGAAATGAAAATGAATTTGTGAACATCAGTTTATTATTAAATAAGGGCTGTTCTTTAAGTTGGGTTTTGTCATATAAATCTGTAGTTTGCTTGTACGCCTCAACGAGGGCTCCTCGCCACTTACTCATATTATTTGTGAACAGAATGGTATAATTTGCAGCTCTGTATCTAAAGTGTACGCTTCACTGTGAAATTTAATTTTTTTTCTAAATTTTTGAATTTGACGAATTTCCCACTATGTGCGAGATAAGGTCAGTAATTTTTTTTTTTTTTTACAAAAACACATCTGATGCCGACATTCATTGCCAGATGACTGAGACTATGTTCCTTATGCCCACCAAAACATTCCTTAATGCCTTCCGATATAAACATTTACACGACCATTTCTTAACTCCCAAGCCTGTTTCCAGCTTCCCCGCTTTCCCCGCATTTTCCCCGCTATCATTGCAATTACGGTCTAAACCCATCTGATGACCAATGTCAGAATCTGATATGTTTCTTGTGGTAAAAAAAGTATCACTGACCTTATTTAGCACTCGGCGGGAGATTCAATCATTAATTAAAACAAACTTGAAACAGGGTGTCCAGTCGACCTGAAAACTGGGAATCGCACGTGAATTATGATGGCTGGGGAAAAAGCCGTAAATTGTGCGTAAAGTTTGTAAAGAACCAGGAAATTTTAAAGTTTTAAAAATCCACCCAAAATTGCTGATTTTTTGTTAGGCATGGCTCAAAACTACAATCACAGGAAACAATCGTGATTAACGCATATTGCCACGATCACAGGCATTGCCACAATAACGGGAAGTCATCTCGAATTTCTTAGTCTTAGGAGTTAAAATAATCGTTAAAGAAGATCGCAGGTGTTGATGCGATCAAGTAAAATAATCACATAATCACAGGTGATTATAATCTGTTGACACGATTACTGGGAAGATAAAAGTTAGACTGTTATCTTATAGTTTAAATTCATAACATTTTCTGTAAAAAATTAGTTTAAATAGTTTTTATTTATATTTTTAGAGTAAAAATAAAATATATATTCGCTTTAATGTCACATAATGATATCTTTAATCATTTAGACTACTTATGGGCTAAAACAAAGGATTTGAAATTTTAATGATAAGGTAAGATAAGATTGTCTCATTATAGCTTAACTTTTTTGGAAAAATGCCTGGTTCGGATACACAAAGTTCAGACTTTTAAGTCAGGTTAAAAGTAAAACAAAATCAGCTACAATAATTTTAGATTAGGTATATTTAGATTATTCTCTCCTCTAGGAATAAATCCGTTTCAAACCAAAATATCTTTTAAAGCTTTAATTGATAAAGAGCATTTAAAAATTAAATTCTAAATGGAAACAAACTTTTATGGATGTTAATCTTATACTCAAAAGGGCTTAAAAGCTATAGTTCGGCCACTTAGAAAACGACTTGCGCGCTAATGCTAAACCAATGCTGGATGAGGTTGCTTTCTATGCGGCCGAACTATAGTCAAATAATTAAACTTTGTGTTATTGTATTTACAAAAAATAATAATAATAATAATAATAACGCCTGTATTTAGCTTTACAAGAAAAAATTAAGTGCCTTAAGCTGTTTAAATAATAGTTTACAACAAATTGTTTATTTGTTGATAAAATATGCTGTTAAACATATGTTTACAAATTTTATTGTCAAAACAAAATTTCAATTGAAGACAGTGGAAAAAACTGTTTGTGTTTTTTGTCTGTTGTAAATTTGTTTTTGCAAACACAATTTGTAAACTGAAACAATGCTGCTTTATGTTTATTAGAAACATAAACATTTATAGAGTCACAACTGACTTGACAAACAATAGAATTATCCAGCTGATAAAAGAAAGTTGAAAAGATCACTGTAGTTATATAAATATACTAAAACAGATAACAATGTCTATCAAGTGACCTTGACCTTGTTTGAGACTTCAGACGTGCCCTAAAACTCCAGTTAGTTCCTGCTGGATTGTGGACTACTTTATCTGGTGTAGAGTCTAGAACAACTACTGTTACAGTGTTTATTTAAATAGCAACTGGTGAGTGTGTGCATCAGTTTTGTAATTTTGCAAAGCAGCTAATTGGTATGTTTATAATATGAGACCTTGCAATAGAAAATTACAGGACATAAAATTAATTTCAAGTTTGAGTGGTACTAATTTATTGACAATAGTAATTTAGTCATAAAACCGTTCTTTATCTCAAGACAAACACTTATACCAACTGTTTATCAGTCTTTTACCTCAAGTGCAGTCTCTCTCTTTTGCAGCTTATTTAATCGTTATTTTAAGTTTCAAAATGTCATTTATGCAGTGTTTTAAGGACAATATTTTGCCACAAATGATACAATCTGGTGTTTTTGGTGTGGATCCTACTGTCTCAAGTGTGAAAGATTGTTCAGAAGATAGAGAAGAGTTTATGTCAAATGTGAAGTTTGTAGATGTAGAACTGAAAGTTGGACAGGCTTCAGAAAAAATTCCTTTGTTTTGCAAGTTTGAAGACAACGATACTAAAGAGGTGAAAAGGGAAAAATTCCAAACCGACTTGCAATTTTCCAATGAAGTCTTTGTGTATAAAGAATTCATACCGTTGTTTCCAAAATCAGTTACAAACATTTTCCCCAAATTTTATTTTGGTGCTGGGACTCCAGGAATATCTTCAGATCCGGGGTTTATTGTTTTTGAAAATCTACATCCAAAAGGTTTTGAAGAAACTCGTGAAAGGTGTTTTTAGATTATGACCATTGTTCTCTTGCTTTCTCAAAACTTGGTGAATTCCATGGATCAAGTATTCAAATGAAAGCTAAGAACCCGTTGGAATTTGGGATCAAGATCAATCAGCTAAGAGAAACAAGATGGCTGAACAAACACAAAGAGCTACAAATCTACTTTTACAAACATACCACTAAGAGAGGGGTGGTCCCGTTGTTGAAAAAAGGTGAACATGTTGATTTGCTGAACAGCTCGTTGGACCACTTGAGCAATGTACACAATGTCATCAAAGAAATCCTAGAAGTAAACGAACATAGTGTTTTGTGCCATGGTGACTTTTGTCGGAACAATATGGTATTTAAATACAAAACCTCTGGACACAAACCTGTTGATGTAAAATTCTATGATTTGGGCACAGCGAGATATGCCTCACCCATCATCGACATATCGTTCTTTTTATTCCTCAACACGACTGCTGATCTCCGCAGAAGATACTTTAAGAGTGATTTTCTTCAAACGTATCTTGACTCGGTGAGAAAGTACGCGGGTACTGAAGCTCCTACTATGGAACAGTTGTGGGAGGAGTTCCAGAAAAAAGCTGTTTATGGTTATTTACTGGCCTCATTCTTCCTTCCGATCATGTGGCACGGACACCATGATCCACCGACTGATGACCTTGAAGAGATGACAAAACAAAACTTGCGTAAAGGAGGAGAAGAAGTAACCGAAATGCTGTCTGATATTGTGAAAGATCTGATCACTTGGGGATGTTTGGAGGGATTTAAAAGCTCATGATATGTAAGTGATATTATGAATACTAAAATTGTTTCTATGGTAGAACTTGACAAATCACAGTTTTTTCAGAGTTTATGTTGATGACCAGTAATAAATTGTAGGCCAAAATTATGCTTTAAATTGGCTGAGATATACTATTTTAACTTCTGTATGGATTTATAATGTTTAAGTATAATTTTTTGCTCACAACAATAAATTTAATTACTTCTTTATACTTGCTGAATGTAAATAAATGAAGATTGTATCAAACCAGATAAATAAATGCCTTTTAACCGGACATCGGTTTAACCAGACTACACTTAGCGGAAATTACCCATCGGATTAGTTGATCGGATTAGTCGGCGGATTAGTTGATCGGTTTACCCAGACTAGATCGGCAGTAATTGGGTGGTATGTTAACGACTGTTCTTGTGGGAAAGATTTGAGACCAGTGATCACGTGTCTAAATACAATGCTCTCCTAATCTTAAGTCAAATACTGTATACAGTATGCATTTTAACAGTCTGCTTTAAGGAGTTTTTGGGGACATTGGTTCAACCGGAAAACCCGTTATCTGGACTGGCCTCGGTCCCGCCCGAGGAGTACGGATAAGAGGGAGTCTACTGTACCTTTTTATTGTTATCTCGCAAATAATGTCATAGGGACCAATTAACCCATAAGGCCACTGTTAAATTTCTAAAAGTTGAAAGTCACGTAGGGAAAACCCTGTGGTCTGATTTGTACCATTTCAGATTTATACCATTCCCATGGAAATTTATACCTTCAGATTGTGTACTATGATTGTGCTAAATTTTGTGCAGATCGCTTCTGCCGTTCAGGAGGAGTATTCGTAAAACAAAAGCAGGAGAAGAGCTTTGCTTTTGAGCAAAGCTCTTTGAGGATGGACCTTATACAAAAGACCCGCTAGGAGTCCGAAGGAAATCATAAATGCATGCGTCCTTTAATAAGCAAACTCCCCAGTTAGACTCTTACGCAACCAACCTGTGACAGTTTTTGTGTTATCATGATTGCTATCCTCTGAGATGGTGATGTCAATATTGATAACTATAGTTGAAATTTGCAGGACATCACTAAACAGATGACCTCTATCTGCCCCTTGGACCAGTTAGCCCGCAGACGAGCCTGGCGGGACATGTGCCTCACCCGTCTATCTCAGCTCAAACAGGAACTGAAGAAGGAAAAGTAATTTGTAATGTTTTTTATTTAATATTTGTTCTATGACTAATAAAACATCCACAAACGCAAAATATTCTGAATTATTTTCCTATTGTAGAATTTTATTTGGTTGTGCGAGGAGTGTCTGTAAGTTAAGTACTTCATGGATCTTCTGTCATATTTGTGTAGTTAAAATCTGAGACCATCGTCATGTTCATTTATGTATACAGTAAAGCCAAGCTAATTCCATTCAGATTCAGAAACACTTTATTCAAGATTTACAGTATACAAATATAAATGCAGAATGGCGTCATTTTCCAACCATTTTCCTGGTTGGATTTTCATTAAAATATTCCCTGAAAATTGTCAGATTAGTTTCCTATTTCAATAATCAATTAAATTTTAATGAGTAGGTTTTCTGCTACATGAGAGGTAGTATAGTGTGTTTTTTATAGCTTACATTTTTATAGCTTAGTAAGACACATTTGATCAAAATATGTCCCTAAACAAGCAAACTTCAACAATTTATCACCTATTCTCCCTAAGAATGACATAGGAATTTTAAATTTAAAGATTTTAGAATTTTCTTTTTAGCCATTTGGCATACAAAGGTTTATTGCGAACTGTGCAATTAGTGTCCCATTCTATTGTGTGAGCTGATTACTATTGAAAGAAACTAACTTGCTCAATGACATGGTTTATAATTAATTAAATCATGTGTATGCTTGTTTTATCTTGAAAACAATATGTTTCTGTAAACACAGTTAATAAAAAGGTTTAACAACTATTAATCAATTATATTTTCTTTCTTTATTTAAAAGGTCATGGTGCCCAGTTACGTTTTATTTTGTGTACCTATACTCTGAAAATTAATCTAAAATGGATGTGAAAGTACAAATATCAAAGCTTGATGGGTCTCAGTCCTGGCGTAGGTGGAAGAGGCAAATGGATTTGATGTTGAAGCATCATGTCACGTGTGTCATGTGTGTTGCCTAGACATTGCAAAGGGCCAAAGAAATTTGCCTAGAATCACTGTAGACGATGTGACTGGTCTAAGCCCTGAGGAAAAATCAAGAAAAGAACAGGCACACAATGAGGCAGTAAGAGCATATGAGGAAGATGATTCTCTAGCCCAGGTCCTGATGGTAAGTGCTGTAGATGATGCTCATGTTGAATTGACAGCAACTTGTGACTCAGCAAATGAAATTTGGCAAAAATTATTAAGTGTGTATGAACAGTCCTCAAGTCAAAGGTTAGATAGGACTTTGGAAAATTTCTTTTCTGCTAAAGTAACCAAGGATGAGGAATTAGTTCAATACATATCTCGTTTGCAATTAATGTTCAGGGAAATAAATGAGGATGAGTTGCAAAAGCATAATGCCAATGTATTGCCTGATATTGTACTAATGTCCAGAATTATGAGTACATTGCCAAGTGAATTCTTCGAATTTAAAAACGTGTGGGAAAGCATTCCTGTTGCTGATAGAAGTATAGAACTTTTGATTGAAAGGTTCAGACGTATTGAGTCAAGGTTACCTTCTAAAAATTCAACAAGTGGAGGGCATGCATTACAAATAAATAAGAAACCATCATCAACTTGTGTTAAGGAAGTAAAGGCAGGTAAAAACTATGCCAGCAGTTCCAAGGTTAAGTGTTTTATTTGTAAAGGGCCGCATTACGCTAGCAAGTGTCCTCAGAATCAGAATTCAAGGGAGCAAGAAACTTAGAAAAGAGGTGGGGATTCTTCTAATGGGAACAAGAAGAAATCTAGTCAATTTTTATGCTTTGTAGCTGACGGACTTTGTAGTGTGATGGTACATTTATAGCTGACTCTGGTGCTTCACAACAGTGTTTCAAGAGGGAATATTTTGATACTTACCACGGTTATTCTAAGCCTGTTTCAGTTACAGTAGCTAATGGAGAAGCTATCTATGCTGAAGGAGAAGGTGACATTCGATTTGTTGTAAATATTGGTAAGATTAAAATTCTCCGGATATTGCAAGGAGTATGGTCACAGAAAACGTACTACTATAACCGAGAATGCCAACCGCATGGTAAAAAGCATTAAGCGTTTTGAGAGAGCTTTGCCTGTCAATCCGTAGGCAGCGCCACCAGCGTTGCTATGCTATTGCATGGCAACGCTGGTGGCGCTGCCTACGGATTGACAGGCAAAGCTCTCTCAAAACGCTTAATGCTTTTTACCATGCGGTTGGCATTCTGGGTTATAGTAGTACGTTTTCTGTGGTATGGTATATTCCAAAACTAGGCAGAAATCTTCTTTCGGTCTCCAAGTTAGTTGAAAAGGACTACAGTATACGTTCAAAGCTTATAAAAATAAGTGTGTTTTTATAAAGGACAATAATCCACATTTATTTGGACACAATGTCAATGGCTTATTTGAACTTGAAATGTCAGTATTACAGAGTAAGTCTTCTGTACAGCTTGTGAGTAGTAAAAATAAAACTCTACAAGAATGGCATGAGTACTCGAGTGAAAATTTAAAAACGTACGTTTTCAGGAAAAGCACTTTGCAAATTTTTGTCCCCTTTTTTCAAAACTTTTATTATTTTTTTTATTTCATTAACATTTGAAGTTTCATAAAATGTCCATGGTAACGCAATATCTTTGGTAGTTTTCTTTTTAAAGAGCATCTTTAGTAGAAAAACACAAAATCCTGTCACGACCATAACGGACGTTTAAATGAATATTAAAAATAGTTAATATTATTTTTATAACTATGTTTTGCTATAAACTAATTTACTTTAATGACCATTATACAATAAAAAGGTCACTGAGCTTTTGGTATATTTGATCTTTCAAGAAAAAAATAAAAAAAAACTCAAAAAATATAAAAAAGACAATAAAATCTTTTTAAGTTTGTATAACTCCGAAAAAACTTACCTGAGACCCGAAAAATCGTTATGTTTGTATAGAGGTGTGCTTCTTTTGTGTATAAAACATTGAAATATGACGATATTTTAATTTTTGAAATTTTTATGATAGAAATCATAAACGTGATGGTCAGGGACAAGCGGTACGGTCGTGAATTGTCTGGAATAATCTAAATCTTTCTAAACAATCCTTCAATTATACTGTTAGTTATAATAAAACTATGTGTTTCAATTGAACTAAACTGTTCAATTTACAATTATATTAAAGTTATTGTCACGACCAAACACACTATAATCCATAAAGGTGGATTGGTCGTGAAAAAAACCGCGATGGTCGTGAAACTTTGGTCGTGAAATTACGTGTTATTTGGCTCTGTTCTGGCGGTAGCCCTGCACCTCATGTTCGAGGATACAAAGTGGACTTCTAGGTTAATCTAGCAATTGAAATATCTTATAAACAAAAATTAACACAATGTCTACTTCATCGAATGACTACGTACGGTCATGGACACACCAAAATTACAAAAAACACAATCTTTCCTTTATTAATCTTGTAATTCCTCCTTTCAACTCAAAACGACCGGCACTACAATCCTGACGTACACCCCGAACTAGTCTCTAAAACCAACTGACTCCATCAACGCCAGGCTTGCCACTGTCGTGCTCCAAAGTTCAAAATTTTCCCCAAATGGTCGTGACGCCAAATCGAGGGACAGACTTATTTTGTCATGGTAGTCAGTCTGCAATGACAATAAAATTATAATATGCTCCTTTTTTGAAAGTTTAATAACCATTGATGACATAAAAATATGGCTTTATATATTTCGGCATGAATAATTAGTCTAAAAACAGCGTGAAAGTTGGAAAATGTACCCTAGGGACACGTCATGGTCGTGAATTTCGAGACTTTAAAAATACGAAAAAAATACCAAGAACCTATTTAAAACCAAATAAATGTGTGTAACATGTTGCCCCCGTCCCAAAAAATATTAAAACACATAATAATAAACTACAAATCCAGTATCTACGAAGTAAAAGGCCAGGGACATGAAAACGTACGTTTTTAAATTTTCACTCACTCATGACTTTTTCTGTGAGGGATGTGTGCAAGGGAAACATCACAGAGAAACTTATCACAAAAGAACAGTAAAACCTGAAAGTCCAGGTGAGATTATAAGTGGTGACTTATGTGGACCAATGGAAAATATTTCTCTTTGTGGTAGTCGTTATTGTCTAGTGTTGAAGGACTAGGCTATTACACTAAATTTCGACAAGTTTTCTTTTTGAAGGAGAAAAGTGAAGTTTGTGATTGTCTACAGACATTTCTAAATGAGAGTCAGACAGCAGGTCATGTTGTTAAATCGTTCATGAATGATGGTGGAACGGAATTCTGTAATGCCAAAGTTAAGAAAATACTCTCTGATCGTGGTATCACTATGAGAACGAGCATGCCTTACACACCTGAACAAATGGGGTCCGTTGAAAGAGAAATGCGAACCTTAGTAGAAGCAGCACGTAGCATGTTGTATGCTAAGAAATTACCCTTGAGTTTTTGGGCTGAGGCCATGAACACTGCCTGTCATGTTATCAACCGCACTGGACCATCTGTTGATAGTAAAACTCCTTACGAGTTGTGGTTTCAAAAGGGTCCTGCGCCCGTTGAACATTTTCGCCCTTTTGGTGCTGAGTGCTATGTCCATGTACCAAAACCGAAGAGGAAGAAATGGTTCAGCTAAATCGGTTTCTGGCATATTAGTTGGATATTGTGACGAACAAGATGGCTATAGAGTCTATGTTGCGCCAAAGATTGTGGCAAGCAAAGACGTTATTTTCTAGGAAATTTCCAAGGAAATTATGAAAAAAGAGTCATTCTTGAATGATAGGCTATGTCTCCTCGACGGATCGAAGGAAACAAAGAAAATAAAAATGCTGGTGAGTCTTCTCAATGGAATGAGGGAATTCAAGACAATGAAGTTGAAATGTGCATTAAATTTCCACGAAAAATCAGTGACAATGGAAATGTGGGGATTGAAAATGATGCAGTGTGTGCTGAAAATGATGTAGTGTCTGCTGAAAATGATGTAATGTCAGTTGAAAATGATGTAGTAAGAGTCATAAATGAAGATGACAGTCGACCTCAACGTCAGCGACGTACACCATCATACCTTCAACTTCAAGACTATGTTTTACTTGCT